TCTACTTGTACACACGCAAAGAAACGTGAGCTCGCCCTTTCTTTTCACGTGAGAATATGGATATGGGAATGAGACATCTGTTGTAGTTTGGCCGTACAAGTATATTTAAAAGAGAGTGAATGTTGCCAGCATATTAAGCACAAAAACATTTGTTTGACAAGATCGATACATGACCTGTATTTTAGACAGAGCTCACACACTAGTTTAATGGCTTCAATTTCCATAACGTCTGGACGAGAATCTAGGAATGTCTGATATTCCTTTGGTTCACCTGGAAATTCATTTTATAATGTCTAAGTGAATGATGTATACTATACTATGTATCAGTTATATGTTTTCTTTATAATAAATATACACTCTAAGTTTTGTACTGGAACTCAGTAACATCGCAAAAGTTACGACAATTAATACAGATGTTTCATTCTCTGCAACATTGATACTTCATCGGTTATGCTCACTTACGCTCTCTGCACCCCTGCAATATGCAGTGACAAAATTGAAGGCTTATTCTGTACCTCATTGTGGATGAAACAAGAAGACTAGTTTGATTCCTTGATGTACATTTAAAGATAATTTTACTGGCTTCGAAGTATGGTGATGCTCCATTTTAATATTCAAAGGATAGGTATCACCTTGGAGTTTGGTTAGTAATGCTTACTTGAGACCAGTCAAATAAATATCTTCTTCCCTTCAATTTCGCTATGACATATCCCAGGGTGTAGAGATTACAAGTGAGCGTTACCCCTAGAGTATCGAGGATGCTTTCTAAGTATTTTCCAGATATTTCAAGATATTTGAATTCATTGCATTAACATGCATGGAAGCTTGTTCATTTGTATGGCAGGGGTATGTTGATGCTGCCATATCTTAAAAATATTCTTAATGTTTCCACATGCTATATGAATTGAATTAGAAGTTTTGACTACAAAGACAAGGAAAACAAATATGAATTAATGGCTAACCAGCAACCGTTTTCTTGGTACATGTAGCTATAGCAAAATGGCAACACGAGCAGAAACCATCTATTTTTTCTATGTTATGCAGATTTGTTTATAACAAAAATCACAACAACATTATAAAAATCTGTTTACCACACAACTCAAAACAATATTATAGAGTCATGTAACGTAGATAATACATTTATGAATGATGTAAGCACAGTAACGGCAATATACAGAAAATGGAGGTAGAAAGAATGTGATTAAAATTTGTGAGTTAGAGGAAATTTTTGTAACTGGTCTAACAGCAGCAAATTTTAGATCATTTTCATTGGCTCTATTCCCTTTACATTTGTATCACAGAGATAACATGGTAAGTATTTTGAAATGCCAGATTTATTTCGGTAAGGGTAAGGAAAAATAAAGACTTCTAAGACTCGTTTCATAAAATCTCATATCAAATGAAAACTCATTTAAGATCCTATATGTATTTTGGGAAACATTATTTAAATAACATCTTCGCATATAAGATTCAGGGTGATTTCAGTCCTGAGTATTTCATTACGTTGTAATTAGACATGGTTAAAACAGCTTTAAAAAATATGACCTGGAAAGGAATAGCCTTCAATATTTTACCTAGTGTAGAAATAATCTTCAGTAAGTTAGAAACATGCTTTAATAAATTGTATCAAGAAGAAACAGCCTGAAATAATTTGTCTCAGGTAGAAATAGCCTGAAGTAATTTGTCTTGGGTAGGAACAGTTTAAAATAATTTGTTTCAAGTAAAAACAGCCTACAATAAATTATAAGTTGCACAAAATATAGAATTCTCAATACAGGTACATTTTGATATTGTTGATCTATATTTTGGCAACATATATTATATATATATAGGATCTTACATGAGTTTCCATTTTATATGAGATTTATGAAACGAGTCTGAGAATTTTCCAATTTAGCGAGCCTCTGGCGGGCTAAAATGAAAAATTCATGACGGGTTTCATAAATTTCATATGAAATTGAAACGAATGTAAGATCCTTTTCATGACATAATCAAGATTTGTGGCATTTAGTCGTGTAAAACGATAATTTTCATGCAATCTTGAAATGTAAAAGGCCGCCATTTTGACTGCAGTGCATAAGTCTGTGACGTCATGTACTTGTCTTAGGAGTGACGTCACAATTGAACCAATCGTCATATTACATGGGTTAATACGCAAACAAATTATAAATATGACATGGGTATATTCACTGGATAACACAGTACATTATGGGATAAATATAGGATTTTACATGAGTTTCCATTTCATATGAGATTTATGAAACAAGTCTTAGAATTTTTCAATTTAGCGAGCCTCTGGTGAGCTAAAAAGAAAAACTGGTGACGAGTTTCATAAATTTCATATGAAATGGAAACTCAGGAACATGTACATGTAAGATCCTGTTTTTATCACATATTTGTTTGCGTGTTGACCAAAGTAATAAGATCCTTTTCATCACATAATCAAGATTTGTGGCATTTAGTCGTGTATAACGACAATTTTCATGCAACCTTGAAATGTAAAAAATATGACATGGGTATATTCACTGAATAGCACAGTACATTATGCGATAAATATTTATATATATTATTACTGAAACTGAACAAAACCAACACATATTTGACAAAAAAATCATCAGAATTCAACAAAAATAGCAAAAAAGCATATATTTACATGTAGGTTGATACTATTAGTCCTGAGTAAGTTATGAGATACAATATATTTTCAATAGTAGTCTCTGACAAATATATATATAGAGACAATGGTGAGTAGACATAAGCACTGTCACTTATATATATGTCTGCCTGACATCACACCTAGCACAAGTGCTGTACTTTTTCTAGTTTCCTTTTTAGAAATAATGTTAAAAGAATATGGCAGAAGATTAAATTGAAAATGTGCTTAATTAATTGGAGACATTTGACTCTAAAATGAATCTAAAATGAAGCCAATCTAAACTGTAAATATAAACCCACCTCTGCAAACCGACCACAAAGGAGGACCCCAGTGTACAAGATGTAATATAGCAGACTGGACGTTACACTCCTCTGAAACAGGAAGATATGTCTTCGACATAAAAAACATAGTCTTTCTTTTTATTAATGTACAATGTACATCATATCACTGATGTACATTTTCTCTTAGTCCGAATTATTCTGACGTTTTATCAACCTGTTTTTATATCGGTCAGTCACCGTCTGTCGTCGATAAAAGTCGATAAAATGTCAGAATAATTCGGACTACTTTCTCTGTGCTTTACTTGTTTATGTTTATGTTTACACGTTTCTAATTTATTTCGCTCTGATTTTTTATTCAGTAATTTCGCCTTTAGGGATCAGAAAATGGTCACCCGATGCACCATCAATTGTTAGTGGGGGAAATAGCATAAGAAGCCCATTGTGTCCAGTTACAGCTACTGGTTGACAGGCGCCCAACTCCTGTGGTTACCGTTCCTTCTTTTCTACAGTCACAGCAATGGCCTCAATATCATTGCCTCTGTCTCCATTAAAATTGGAACTATTCCCTAAATATCCGACATCGGTGTCGGAGCCACGTGCACTACTCAATAGTGGTTTCCGTTCCATCTCTTTTTGAAACGGCTACTGTTACCGACGCCATTATGATTTTCTCCTATATCACATGGGTATCACATGATCAAACGAGTCTGTATTACTATAAGGGCGCCAATAATTGATTGCTAATTCACACATCTCATTCTGTTTGTCGTTTTAAGTTAAATTCTTACTGTAAGTACTAAAGTTATCCAAATGATCCTTTCGATGGATTATAACTTACGTTAGAATCTAATTAACAAAGTAAAAGCTGAAACTATGGAAAGGAAAATATAAGTGTAACACAGATTAACATGTTGCCGGGGGGCCTGGTTAAGTATAGTTACCGCTTCCTATATCGACTCGGTTAGGAAGATATTTTTCTTTTGTTCGTTTAAACAGTACGTATAGAGCGTCAGGTTTGTAATTGAATTGTCTCGGGTTCGACCCCTAGCACAACATTGAAAATATAATTACCTTATAGTTACAGACGTATTTGTGGAAAGTCGAGTCCATTTTACTTTCTCAAATTAAACATGCCAATCGTTGAGGTATGATGTAAAGTATAACGGACTTTGTATGATGTGCACGTGTGTTAACGCCGATATCCAAAAGCAGGACGCGTTTCAATTTTCCTTTTCTTGATTATAAGTTACGTCCCTGTTTCACGAACAGATAATGTTTACACAAAAGCCGGCCCCGAATATGAATATTTCCGATTGTCGACTTGCCGCGGACTGCTTACGAACCACTTACAACACACATTATACAGGTACCAATTTCGGATGAAGACTATAGCTATGGACATGCTTAAGGTCGTCATCATAATCTTAACGGGAAATATGCTACTTCTTTGTGTGATATGAATGTAGAGTGTGCCTTTTGGTTTTGTCACTACCTCAGTTCTCAACATTTCATGCAATGTACTTGAATTTGACCCGACGAAGAAAAAAAGGCCTACCATCGGAACACCGGGTTTTATTCTTGTTATTTTTCAATGGTTGTTCATATTCTGCCTTAGTTTAAGGCATCAAACCATGCAACTTTTAGAAAGAATAATATCAGAAATAACTATGGATATACATGTATTTATACAATTACTGAACTGGGTAAATCGATTTGTTAGGAAAACGAAAAATTAGAAATGCGAAGTAACATGTTTATAGGAATTAGAAATAAGTTCTGGATATTTATGAATTTAGAAATAAAGTTTTTAATTTAATAGGAATAGCGATAACAATGTTCCAAATCCTTACATCTATTTCATATAAGTTGAGAATTGTGTATTTCATACAAAAACAATCGATGAATTAGGGCTACTGTTTTATACGGTTTTATATTGCTAATTTAAATGGATAACTCCCGATGGAACAAAATTACCCTTTTGGTGCCTCTCAATGTCACCAATACCCGCTCCCCGGTGTAAAGGGAAATAACTCGAGCTATTATACGATACTGGATTTCCCCTGTGGCTATATATAGAAATATTCATATACTAGTTCTCAACATGTCTAAGTAGAAAATGAAGGTTTCACTAAAGCGATCAGGCGGATTTTGATTCTTATTAATATTTTCCAGGATCTAAGTGAGCATCTGGATTGTAAGTGAATTGTTTTGAAATCACTTCTTTAGGCACATTTTATTAATGAATTATTTTGAAAATGAAAGTAGACCTGTAATCATGCTTCCCCATATTTCATAACAGCATGACTTTTGGTATAATTTAATCAATACTTTTAAATTTAAGTAATGTGAAAAACAGGTATTTAGGTTTTTGTGAAATCTGTTTACAAACATTTTGAATGTTGATTTTGTTATCATAAACAAAAGTGCTTGACACACAAAAACATATAGATATTATGTGTTAATATATATCATAATTTCATGTACATTTGTATTACATGTGACAGATTTTAATTGTGCATAGGACTATGGTCGCCTTCAAGCTTCGTGCTAAAAAGTGCATTTCCCTTTAGCTCAGTGGTAGAGCTTTCGACTAAGAACCTAGTAGGGATTGCAGTTTCAATCCCTGGTGGAAGCATACTAGCTGTCAGTGACTCTCTCTTTGTTGTGTTGACAGGGAGTTGTTATGGTGTTTGAGGGCTAACACATTTAAAAATGGGGAAGAAATTTGTCAGATTGTTATCGTATAAAGAATTACAGTCGCCTTCCAGACTAGTGCTAGAGGAAATTTCCCTTTAACTCAATGGTACTTAGTGAGTCACTCACTCACTCACTCACTTTTCACTCAGCACAGCCCGACTAGGAAGTTCTGGAGTGGAATCACACTGCTTTCTTTCCTTCTTAATTAACTCCTTCACATAAACAGTTGACCGCTAATTAAAGCTCCATAAGAGAACACTGAGGAGCAAACAGTTAGCCTCTGATTGTACTCTCCATAAAGTACTGCTGAAGTGAACAGTTGTTTAAGTTGATTGCCTGGCCGTTTATTAGGAGAACACATTTTGGGAGCGCTTAACAGCTTAATTAATATGGAAACAATGATTATAGGAGCAAGTTGTTGATTGCTTGTTGAATGCCTCAAAGGGAAGCACTGCTTTAGAACGAAGAGATGACTTTAACTTTTCGAAAGATTCCACAGAAAAGTTGAATCATCAGATCAATAGTATAGACTCAAATTTTTCATTATTTCTCTTCAAATCTAAATCATTCCCTTCAACATCTATCAGCTGTTATTTAACTTGGGAAATAGTGCATCATAGTTACAGAGCAGCTTTAATGACGAAGGTGTGAATAAAAGTGCTAAACTAGAGCATAATTGCATGACTGCCATTTTCTTTAATACTTTCAAGCCCAAGCTCAGGGTTTTAGCATCTTGATCTTGCCCATACATCTTCCAGATGATATGATAAGTAACTATAAGACATATGGAGAGATTCCTCAGCTTCAGCTGGAAACTTGATCTGAAGTGTGATGATAATCTTTCAGCCCCACTTATTGATTTTGTACACAGGAATAGATGAGCCATGTCTATAATCCGCCCTTACAAAGGGTCAAGGGTGATACGGGGCCAAGACTGGGCCTATGGGAACCAGGATGGCGGTATTGGGCACATCGGGACTGTGGTAGAAACTGACCCAGAGTCTCAGGTGTGCTCCGTCTTGTGGGACTATGGGATCCTGATGGAGAACTGTCGGGCCGGGGACGAGGGAATAGATTTACGTGTCGTTGACACAGAATCCTCAGGTAATTGAATCACTTTATTTTTTTAAACAAGGAGATCACTTAGGCTCAAAGTCATTGGTCAATTTTGTAGGCTTTTTTAAAGTTATGACCATCAGTTATTTGGTCAAATGTTTTTTTTCATCACTTGTTTTTCCTGAATTATTGAATCATACAAGGTTACTGATTGACATTGCTACATTTAATGTTTACAGTTTTCAATGTTAATGACATTGTAATGCAACTTTTTATATGAAAAGATATTGTATAGCAATACTTATACATGTACCACAGTAATTCTGTTTAATTCTATTTGTAATTAAAAATACAATAAAGATTCTAATACAGTGATATAACAAATGTTTGTGTACTTTCCAGACTTTGAGTACAACTTGCAACATGCCAATTGTGACACGTGTGTGACGGTAGGCCCGGAGACCAAAAGCATCAGTGGCTATCGTTGGAAGTGTGTCGAGTGTACGGACTTTGACATGTGTAACTTGTGCTACATGCAGGGAAAACACGACACGGCGCACCACTTCATGAGATACGACAACAAACTGGCTACTGTGTGAGTGTAGTATATATGTACTCTGATTAAAAACGTACCCTTAATTATTGAATAGTGATTCATTAGGATTAACTTGAATATATTTTTCATGTTATGGTGATATAACACAAAAAAACGGAGTGTACTCTAAATAAACCGTGAAGCGAAGTACACTCCGGTTTTTTGTGTTATAGCTCCATAACATGAAAAATATATTCAAGTTAATCCTTATAATTTTATCTACTATACACACACCCTGTGGAAATCCACTTTTATTGATGGACTCTTTTCTCTTAGAAAGTATTTCGCCGCTGTATCAACCAATCAAAAGCGACGTTACAAATGGCGACGTCGTTTTTTACGTTATGGGATGATAACATAAATTTTTAAGCCAATGGAAATGCTTGTTACAAGCAAGATTAAATTATTGAATCATATTATCTGCAATAACATGCCAAAAACCTGTTTATCTAACAGAGGTCTTTTCTTGGTTTATAGATAGGAAAAACACTTGTTGGTTACAGGCTTTCGATCTTTGTTAGAAAAACACTTGTTGGTTACAGGCTTTCGATCTTTGTTAGAAAAACACTTGTTGGTTACAGGCTTTCGATCTTTGTTAGAAAAACACTTGTTGGTTACAGGCTTTCGATCTTTGTTAGAAAAACACTTGTTGGTTACAGGCTTTCGATCTTTGTTAGAAAAACACTTGTTGGTTACAGGCTTTCGATCTTTGTTAGAAAAACACTTGTTGGTTACAGGCTTTCGATCTTTGTTAGAAAAACACTTGTTGGTTACAGGCTTTCGATCTTTGTTAGAAAAACACTTGTTGGTTACAGGCTTTCGATCTTTGTTAGAAAAACACTTGTTGGTTACAGGCTTTCGATCTTTGTTAGAAAAACACTTGTTGGTTACAGGCTTTCGATCTTTGTTAGAAAAAAAAGACTTGAAATAGTCTTTTCATGCTCTGTGTATCCACGATACTCCAGTCGAGGTTTTACTTACGTAAATTCTCTGCACCCCTGGAATATACGTCGTGATCAAATGTCTGTCAGCAATCATGTCACCTCTTCAATTGACGGGAGACCTATTGTTTAAGTATTCACATATTTGGGTCAGAATTCTTACTCTGTTACTAAAATAAAGATGTCTTAATTGGTTAAATTTGATGTACTTTATGCATCAGGAACACAATATAAAGGATATGGACTATAATTGTGGTAATTATATGACTAGGTAAAAAAAGTGTTAAATTGACTATAATTACAATTGTATATAAATGTTTTCCACCCCATAATGTTCAACCTTATCATGATATCCTAATTGATGAAAGTAGATTTGTACTGCTGAATAAGGGCTTGACTTCTAAGATATCTTGATGAAACTTGAATTTTCCAGTATATGTATCGATCACCCACAGAATATGTGAGGTGTTCTGTGGTTGAGAAATTATGACCTTCACCTTAAAGTCCGAGGTCATAGATAGTATAGATTTCTCCTCATGAACCTTTTAATAATACTTCAAAATTGTAGAAAAAATACAGCTTTGTAGGTTATATCAACTGACAAAGAACGTTTGACATTAACCCTTTCACCACCGTAGACCATAATGGACTTTACCGGATCAATGCTAGTAGAGTCTGCTAAAGGATGAAAGGGTTAAGGACGTTTTTAGCAATTGTAATTAGAGGGTTTTGTTTCAAATTTGATATACCAGGGGTACACAACAATTGTTTGTTGTTTGATAAAATCATACATTTACATCAAAGTGTTTTGTTAGGTTAAGGGAAGATATGATAGAATCATCTTGTTTGTCCATCGATGTGTCCATCTTTGTACAAAAGACATTATGTATTGTCTTTCATACAAAGGATTTTCTCTGTGGATTTTTGTTGTTTAGAGTACCAGTGCCTCCCAGGAAAAGGAGCAGAAGACTTAAAGTTTACAGTGTAATGTCTGGCGCTCAGGTCAAAAGGTCACGGCGAAAAGGAACTGATTCAGGTAAATTATCAAGTTATGTCTCAACTTATTTTAATAACATATGATAATGTTATTTTTTTAGACTGAAGTTCTATGTCAGGTATGAAATGTTGAAATTAATTTTATGAAAATGTGTTGCAGTATTTCAATGCTTTTCTTGTTTATGTTGCAGAAATAGGAGTCATAAAGACTGTAACCAAAATTGTTCAGAACCAAGAAATTGTGGTTGAATGGAAATCAGGGGAGACAACTACACACCTGTCTGGACCTAATTGTAAATTTGATCTCGTATCTGCCCATCCTACAGTCACTGTCTACATTGACCATCTCCCTCAAGCAGGTATGCATCTTCTTATGCTATCCTTCTAACTATCACTTTCTCTGTAAAAACTTCATACAGATTGTATGATAAATAAAGGTGCTTGGTTGAAGCTACTGTCAAGATCATTAAAGAGTTTTGATGCTCTGAATTTAATTGCTTTATCACCTCATTACTCAAACTTCACTTTAAATCTCCTTTGTCTTATGGATGTTAAACTTATGAATGGGACCCTCTTTACAATGAAATCATGCAACGGTGATATGGATGTAAAGCTTAAGGATTGGCCCTCTTTACAATGACATCATACAATGGTGATATGGATGGAAAGCTTATGAATTGGCCCCTCTTTACAATGACATTATACAATGTAAAGCTTACGAATTGGCCCCTCTTTACACTGACATCATACAATGGTGATATGGATGTAAAGCTTATGGATTGGTCTCTCCCTACACTGATATCATACACTTGTGCCCCATGGATGTCAAACTTATAAATTTGTCCCTCTTCAACTGGCATCATACACTGGTGCTCTATGGATGTTGGAGTATGATTGGGTCCCTCTTTACTCTGACACCATACACTGGTGCTCAATGGATGTCTGAGTATGAATTGGCCCCTTTTAACTTAAAACTTCACAACAAGGTTAATTACCATGAAACCTCAGACAAGTTCGATAACTGCCATTATCCGACCATAATTTGTAGAGTTATGCCTCTTCATGGACTTGTCGAAACAGTGTCCGCTCGATATCTCCAGTAATTATTAACGGATTAACTTCAAACTTCACAACAAGGTTAATTACCATGAAACCTCGGACAAGATCGATAACTGCCATTATCCAACCATAATTTGTGGAGTTATGCCCCTTTATGAACTTGCTGAAACAGTGTCCGCTTGATATCTCGAATAGTTATTAACGGATTAACTTCAAACTTCACAACAAGGTTAATTACCATAAAACCTCAGACAAGTTCGATAACTGCCATTATCCGACCATCATTTGTAGAGTTATGCCCCTTTATGGACTTGCCGAAACAGTGTCCGCTCGATATCTCGAGTAATTATTAATGGATTAACTTCAAACTTCACAACAAGGTTAATTACCATGAAA